GTCTGTTAGGCCTGTCCACCCTGAAAGCGCGGCGCTCCCAGCCAGAAAGTATGCAACTACGCAGTAGAGGAGCGTGGGGGTGGTAGGGCTGGGGAGGGATGGAATCCCTGGGACTGGACTTGCCCATGCATTAAGTTTTATTATTATCATGAGTATTAGTACGTAGTTGTGTACTGCCTGGCTGGTAGACATGCTCACACTGCGTGAGTGTGTCTACCAGCCAAGCAATACGCAATTACACCGTAGAGAGGAAGGGGGTGGGATGGGATGGAATGGAATCCCTGGGGCTGAACTTTCCTGTGCGTGGGATGGGCAGCACCCCGGGATCTGCGTGCACTCGGGCCAGCTCTGCTCCCCACTGGCTGGTTCCCCCCATCTTCCCCAACCAGCCCCGCTCTCCCCATGTCCGGTTCTCCTCCCCCACCCCCATCTGAGATCAAGTGTGTCCAGTATTTTTGTCAAAACCATCTGGCAACCCTATTCAGGACTCTGAATCCCCTCGTTATATTCATACCAACAAATCTGTGAGGTGTGGGGGAAAGCAGAGAGGGGAATAGTGACAGAAAAGCTGCTTTCTTTCTGATTCCTAGGTGGAAGCTGTTTTTGTATGTTAGCTCAGCATTAAACTTACATGTGGAAAGAACTACAGTCAGTAGAATTCTATTGTATGTTGGTTACTGTACAGATGGAAGATCCATCCTCAATGTAATGCTTAAGAAAGTACCCCGTTTTAGTAAAATTAGATAGTAGACAGCAGTTTATGTAAATTATTCTGTACCCAACAAATTGTTCTTCTAGTGGGAGAGAATTATAGCCCATTGTCTAGTTAATGGTGCAGTCACACTGGTGTGTTCAAATTGAATGTCAGTGACCACTTCAGAGTAAAACATCTAAGTGCAGTTCTCAACTTGAAGAAGTTATATTTTTACTTTGAGAGTAAAGGCAGTCTTGGTTTAGCACCACAGGTTATATTTTTGTCATATGGCTTGATTTCATTTGTGACTTAAACCAGTGGTTCTCAACTAGAGGTATGTGTACTACAGGGGATATGCAGAGGTCTTCCAGGGGATACATCAACTCATCTAGATATTTGCCTAGTTTTAAAGCAGGCTAAATTATAAGCATTCGTAAAGTTAACAATTTAAAATTTCATACAGACAGTGACTTGTTTATATTGCTCTGTATACAATGCACTGAAATATAAGTACAATATTTACATTTTATTTGCTTTATTTTATTATATGGTAAAATGAGAAACTAAACAATTTTTAGTAGAAGTGTGCTGTGACACTTTTTTGTAATTTTATGTCTGATTTTGTAAGCAAGTATTTTTTAATTGAAATTAAATTTGGGTTATGCAAAAAAATCAAACTCCTGAAAGGGGTACACTGATCTGAAAAGACTGAGAAACACTGGAAAACCAAAGAGGTCTCAAAGTGATTGTAGACTAATGATAGCAACCTCCATAGTAAAGGTTGCAACAGAGCTTTTGTTGGAGAGAGAAAGAGAATCAATTTGAAAGGTAGCATGCCCTGTTCTGAGGGCTTAAGCAGGACTTTAGCGATACCTTGTGTCGATTCTCTGCATGATGGTGAATTTCACCCTTCATAAACAGTAAGGCTGCATCTAGACTGGCATGATTTTGCGCAGATACTTTTAACGGAAAAAGTATACTCTATACTGGCATGTACCTTTGCGCAAAAGATTTGCTTTTGTGCAAAAGCATCCATGCCAGTGTAGACGCTCTCTTGCACAAGAAAGCTCCGATGGCCATTTTAGCCATCGGGCTTTCTTGCGCAAGAAATTAATGTGGCTGTCTACACTGGCCCTCTTGCGCAAGAATACTTCCGCAACAGGACGTATCCCTGAGTGGGAGCGTCAGTATTTGTGCAAGCACCACTGATTTTGTACATTACAAAGTCAGTGGTCTTGCGCAAATACTTGTGGCCAGTGTAGATAGGCAGCAAGATGTCGCGCAAAACCAGTTGCTTTTGCGCAAAATCATGCCAGTCTAGACACAGCCTAAATGTCTGGCACAGATCATGTTTCATGCTAAAATCTTTAAAACTCCCAGGATTCACTAACATTTTCACAAAAACCTGATGGCTTTCTGAGTACTTATGAATCATATGGTACCACAAAATCATAGTAAACAGTCTTCTGATATTCAAAAAGAATTTTTTCACCAGCTCTATCTTAATCACCTCATCTGGTCACTAATGACCCCATAATAATACTAAAACCAATTCATAATTCTTAATTAAAAATTGCCTATTAATTCCAGTGTTCTGACAAAACTCCATTTTGTGTGCTAAAAATTTTGCTGACTTAAATTCCACTTGGTGGTCTAATTGGATAAATATTTCTCCATTTCTTTCCTAAATGGTTACATCAGCTGATGTGTTTTGTGCATGTCTACACAGCAGGGTAAAAGTTGAATTAAGCTACATAACTTCAGCTATATCAATTGTATAGCTGAAGTTGAAATAGCTTAATTTGGCTTTTTGGTGTTGTCTACACAGCGGGAAGTCAAAGGAAGAACACTCTTAATCCTTGTGAAATGAGGCGTACAGGAGTCAGAGTAAGAAGTCCTGCAGCTTGCCATTATTTCAAAATAATGGCTTGCTGTGTAGACATGCTCTTTGATATTTTGGAATAACATTAGTTATTCCAAAATAATGCTGCTGTGTAGACATACTCTACAGAAGTAATGGATGAAATGATCTCTGTGAAGAATTTGTATATATTAATACGTAAAATGCTGATGAATCCTTCATGAGGGAAGATAAACTATTAGTTTGAGATTATCAATATATTGTAATAAGTTTCTTCTGTATGTCTTGGATATAATACAAAATTGTTTGTGCAGATATATAAAGAACCAGACCATGATTTCAGTCAGAGATTTTATTTTTTAACAAGAGTTGGAAGGATTAGATTTTTATTGGTAAATGTCCATTTCACCATACATACACAAACTGTTTTTCCAATGATGAAAATTGAAAGGCAATCTTAAAAAAATAGTTTGAGAATTTTTTAATATTTAAGGATATGTACTCTGAATATTTTGCTATGTGATATTGATGACTTGTATGTTAAAGGACTTTTCGAATGTCGGTGTCTATTGTTATTAAGTAATTATTTCCTGCAACAATAAAAATGTTTTTGGATGTTTTTCTTCCTTTTAAATCACATTGATTTCAATTACAACATAGAATTCAAAGTGTACAGTGCTCACTTTATATTTTATTACAAATATTTGCACAGTAAAAAAGATAAAACAAAGAAACACTATTTTTCAGTTCACCTCATGTAAGTCCATTCAGTCCTACTTCTTGTTCAGCCAATCACTAAGACAAACAAGTTTGTTTATATTTACAAGAGATATTGCTGTCTACTACTTATTTATAATGTCTCCTGAAAGTGAGAGCAGATGCTCACATGGCACAGTTGCAGCCACACTGCAAGGTATTTATGTGCCAAATATGCTAAATGTTTAAGTGCCCCTTTATCCTTTAACTTGAAGGTGCTAAAGTTTTATGTTAATGGCACTCAAAAGAAATGTAATCTACATTTGTAGGATGCATTTTCATGATAAAGAGATAGTATTACAATATTTATATGAGGTGAATGAAAAATATTTTCTTTTGTTTCCGGAGGGGTAAGTCTTTATCTTCAAAAACAATGAGGAGTACTGTGCCACCTTGAAGACTAACTGATTTAATTGGACATAAGCTTTTTGTGGGTTAAAACCACTTAGTTTAATACACTCTACCCCATTAAAGTTTATGCCCAAATAAATTGGTTGGTCTTTAAGGTACCATAGGATGCCTCGTTGTTTCTTTTGTTGTTTCTTTTGTTTATCTTTTGTACAGTGCAAATATTCTCAATGAATACCAAGTGACCACTGTACATTTTGTGTTCTGTGTTGTAACTGAAGTCAATATATTTGAAAATGTAGAGAAACATTCAAAATATGTATAATTCTATTGTTAAAAGTACAATTAAAATTGGCTAATAGCAACTATATTTAATCTAGCAATTAATTACAATTTTTTAGTTCTTTGACAGCCCTAATATTTATTAAAAGTCAAATTTTTCCAAACCTATTTTTAACATCCTTTGTTTTGCATTTCAGTGGCTGTTCCCTCAGCCATGCCAGCTTGTGAGCCCAAGACTAATGGGCACAATCCAGCTCCACGTCTCTCTGTTTCTTCCCGGACCACTGTGGTCGCCACCATGGAAACCACCTCCCAGGGCTTGCAGACAGTCATGAAGTGGAAAACAGTGGTAGCCATCTTCGTTGTGGTTGTAGCTTATCTGGTAACTGGAGGCCTTGTCTTCCGTGCACTGGAGCAGCCTTTTGAAAGCAGCCAGAAAAATACAATAGCCTCAGAGAAGGCGGATTTCCTTCGGGAACATGTTTGTGTGACCCCAATGGAGTTGGAGACTCTGATTCAGGTGAGACAAATGAGGACAATAACTCACAATGAAGGCGGAAACTTTTTTTGAGCTTCTTCCTGGAAGTTCTGAAAAATGATTTTGGTATTTCATTGCTAAACCCCAAACCATAGGGTGACTGGATGGGTCAGGGGGATTGGCAGTGAAGTGGGGAGCTTTCCAGTTTGAAGTTTCTGGTTTCAATTCAACACAAATGGGTAGTAACAAAAGTTATCATTTCACCGCTGTTCAGTGACCTATGTGAAATGAATTGGTCTCGTTCTAGGTTCCACTCAAGAAGTGTCTGAATTTCCAGCATTCACCATCCTGGCTGCCAGCCTCAGTAGAGGGGGCAAAGAGCAAATGTGTACAGGGACTTGATAACCTTTTTTCTGTTCTTTTAGTGGTGCCTACTAGTCAAGATATTGCGAAAAGGCCTGCTGCCTGCGCTGTACGTGTTCCTATTTGCAGTGCATCTAATCTGGCAGCTTTCACCAATGCTGAATTCACATTAAAGTATCTAGGGGAGGCTTCTTTGGTTTTTAGTTCTATGTACACAAATGTGAGAACATTTCCTGCTGGTTTTGACTAACAAAGGTGGGGTTCATGAATAAGGTGGCTGTTCATTTCGTAAAGTCTGACTGATACACAAAAAATTCTGAGGTCTGGTACTGAAAATCTATTTTGATGAGGAAGATTAGAATTTCACTTCAGAAGAGAGTGGCAACACTTTAGGGGGCCATATCAGTGCTGGTGTAACTCATCTGAAGTCAGTGAATATACACTTGGGGTATGTCTACACTATCACCCTAGTTCGAACTAGGGTGGTTAATGTAGGCATTCGAAGTTGCAAATGAAGCCCGGGATTTAAATATCCCGGGCTTCATTTGCATCTTGCAGGGCACCGCCATTTTTAAATCCCCGTTAGTGCGGACTCTGTGCCCATGGATATACGCGGCACAGAGTAGGTAGTTCGAATTAGGCTTTCGAGGTGTAACAGTAGTTCGAATTAGAAAGCCTAATTCGAACTACCTACTCCATGCCGCGTGTAGCCGCGGGCACGGAGTCCGCACTAACGGGGATTTAAAAATGGCGGTGCCCTGCAAGATGCAAATGAAGCCCGGGATATTTAAATCCCGGGCTTCATTTGCAACTTCGAATGCCTACATTAACCACCCTAGTTCGAACTAGGGTGGTAGTATAGACATGCCCTTGGTTTGAATGTGCTGAACTTCGAACTAGGGTGGTAGTATAGACATACCCTTGGTTTGAATGTGCTGAATTTAGCAGCCTGCTAGGCAAGGCTAAGAGCTTCTTAATAAGGCCTTGACCCCTAAGCCTTTTAGCACCCATCAACCCTTAACGATGGGGCAGGGCTACTCAGGAAGACCAGGACTTTATAACGTTCACTCCTAAGCAACCAGGGGAGGTAGTGGACAACAGGATGGACATGGATGGTGTCCCTAATCTCTTTGCCAGAAGTTGGGAATGAATGACATGAAATTATCTTGCTCTGACACAATATGCCTGAGGATTGTCTGTTGTGTTCACTCCTTCTGGAGCACCTGGCACTGGCCATGTTGGAAGACAAGTTACTGGATGGACCTTTGGTCTGGCCCAGTATGACTGTTCTTATTTTCATATGTTCTTATGAATATGGCCCAATGTGATTCAGTCTGAGAATTTGTATCTGCGTTTACTGTGAAAAGCTCAGTTTACATCAATGAACTTCAACAAGGAGGTACATGAGCGAGCTTTATTGATGAGGTGTGCAGTGCACAAGTATTCAGTCACTAAAACATAGCTCCCAACATCTGAAATGGCTGAAGTCGGATGCAGCACCATTTGCATTTGGCCCCTCCCTGCAAAGATAAATAATTGCGTATGGGCTAAATTTGATCAGCATTGGAATCTAACAAACTATGCTGCAGTACCAATCAAATGTGGCCCCTAAGCATCTCCATCTATGTCCATGGAGAGGCAGATGGGCCGGTCCTGAGTGGTGCTGCAATCCTATGTTCCAGGTCACAATGCCACTTGATTTGTGCATCCTGTCAAACAGGGAGCCTGAACACTCCAATCTCCCACTCCAACTGACCCTGAATGCAGAAATATTCACTTCAACTATGCCAGGAGGCTTGGGGAATCAAATTGGGATAGTCCTGCAAATCTTGGGACTTTTGGGAGGCCTACTCAAGTCCTGCCCTATCATTTGCTGGGCTCAGTGCAAAATCTGTGATGGATGTTGTGGAGGACAGCCTATATTTTGTTATGAAGTTTTGACCTGGAGTCTGCAGAGAATGTTTCCAAAACGTTGTAGATGGGAGTTCAGATCTATTTAAAACTATTTCATACACACTGGGATTAGAGTTTTATGACAAGTCCAGAGCTCAAGGATGTTAAATTTAGTTCAATCAACAAGTTGATGGATTTTCCATTGACTCTAGTTGATTAGTTGATAAGTAGGATAGCAGCAGCGGGGTTAGCTCCTGGCCTGGGAGCTAACCTCATTGAGTCTCTGCCTTTAAAATGTATTACAACCTTGTTGGCTCTTAATACATTTAAAAGCCTAACGTGCAGCAGGAGGGACCCAGCTTGAGCCAGGATAGCTGATTCCCAGCTCCTGCTCTGTTCCCCCCCACACTGTGATTTAGTCTTTTAAATGTGTTAAGAGCTGGCAGACTTAATACATTGAAAAGGCTGGTGCGCAGCAGGACGGGGACCCAGCATGAGCTGGGAATCAGCTAATGCCTGGCTTGCACTGAGTCCCCCCTACTGCTCATTCTGATTTTAAAATGTATTAAGAGCTGACAGGCTCTTAATACATTTAAAAAGCAGAGGTGCAGTGTCTGAGACTGGGCACGAGCCGGGAATCAGCTGATTCCCAGCTTGCACCCAGTCCCTGCTACCCCCTGCCTCCTCTGCCCCCCGCAGAGACGATGCTGGGGGGAACTGGCTTTTAAGCTGGCTCCCTCCAGCACCAGCTCTGGCTTCCCCTTTGTTGCCTCTAATACAGGCAGCAAGGGGGATGAGGAACTGACTAGTTGAGGGACTGGCTGACTATCTGATAAGCTTTATCAGATAGTCAACTAATCTCTTACATGCCTATCAAAGCTCAGGCAAGAAGCTTGCTTAGGCTTTGTCTGGACTACAAACTGTATCAGAAAAAGGTACGCAAATTGCGCTCCACAATTTGCATACCTTTTTCTGATACTTTTGTTGGAAGAGGATTTCCCATCTACACTGGTCCAGATTTTGGAAAAAAACCTTTTTTTGAAAGATTCCTTCCTCCAGCAAAAAAAAAAAAAAAAAAAAAAAAAGTTGGAAGAGCAGACACATTCTCTTCATACCCTAACATTCACAAAACATTTTCATGAACTTGGATCTAGATCCTCCTGCTTTGTTAAACTGATGAGAATCTCACTGATGAGAATCTCACAACTCCATAGTTCACAAGCGGAGACAACATATTTTAAAAGTGTATACATTTTGACAATTTGCAGTTCCTCTTCCTGTTTGTTGCAAGGTATGTGTCTTATACCATGAGATTAATTCAAGGCCTATATACATATTACTGATGGGCCTGACCAAAATATTGCAAATCTTAATTTTTATCTGTACCACCCCAAAGCACAGTGTGTTCAGCTGCGGTGTTTTTCTTTATCCCACTAAGTAAAGGGGTTTAGCTATGAGCGTGCAATCTGGACTTGAATCTAAACTTTTTCAAGTTGAAAGCTTCTGTTCTGGGATTTTTGCTCTGATCTGTTTCTAATATATATCTTAAGGGGGCTGCTAAGGTTAACATTTCCTGCTATTCTTGAGGTACAATACATAATGGAGGAGTGCTAGTTATGAATATTAAAGAAAGACATTTGCGTGTTATGTGCGTGAAGGTCATTTCTGATGAAAGATATGCAAAGTCCTTGTTTTTCTAACAAACAGAATTTCTAATAGGCACAAAAAAGTATCTCAACATGAAGCTAAAGACTGCTGTCTATAGGGTATAACACCAGGACATTCCTTAATATCATGTAGTCTGAACCAGATCTCAGGTCTCAAGTATACACAACATTTTGTCCTTTCTTTTACCTCAGAGGTAGTGGCATTAACCTAGTATACAGGCATATTGTGTCACAGTAAGTCAGATAATCTAAACAAACCGTATCTCTCCTGAATTCAGTTTGCTTTCAGGCATTTCAGTGGCTAACGGGGAATCATTTCTAAAAAGTAAATTAAACAAGTTTAGTGCTTAACATACGGAATGGCTTACGGCCAGTTAGTAGAAAACACAAAAATGTGTTTTGTCAGTAAAGAAGAATTTCTATTTGATTCTTCTGAGTGCTTGGGAATAGGTGAGCTTGGCTCACAGCTGCGTGAAATATGATGACAATTATCAAGCTGCACTTGTAACTGGGCTGAGTGTAAGAAGTCAAGAACACAAAACAATGTTTCAGATTATTGAGAGATTAACTTTTTTTGTTTTCTACCCTTATGTTGATGATTTTAAAAAGATACATCTTCCTCAGCTGGCCCAATGGATCACTACATTGCAATGAATTCTGGCCTGCCTGTAAGACCAGGAGTTCAGAATAAAGGAACTGAATTGGGAACCTCCATGGGTTTTGGTGGTGTGACACATTTTCATTGCAAAGCTATACCTCAGGGCAGTATTTCTTATGAATTCCATCAGACTGATGTTGTATAGACAAATGCACAGTTCCTACTCCTCAAGAGTTTCAGTGATGACTCAGCTCTGAGCTACTGGAGGACATTCCCATGGAACAGATCCAATAGCGGAATGAAAAGAGACTTTAATCATAGGGCACCTCTGTGTTCTATTGAGCTGGAATAGCCTGGATGCCTAAACCGGTGGTGGTGGGGGAAAAGGAGAGGTTGTAAAGAGAGGAAGGATGAAGCCTGTGATGAGTTTGCAATGTTGGACCTGAGCCACAGGTCCTATACCCTGAAAGAGTCTTGCCTTGGGAGACAACACCTATAAAGAAGATACATGGCAGCTATGA